CGAAAAGAATCAACGACGCAAAAAATTCGAACTTGGGATACTGCCAGAAAAACGCCAGATTACCATGTCCACTGCGCCCTCAACGGAAATGGAAGTGAAACGATAATTTTGCATGTAATGGAAGAAGGAAACAATAGTGAAATACTTCAAAAGGCAAGAACTGCAGTATTACATGAAAATGAACCTTACAACCTAGATAGTAGATGTAAGCCGTCAGGTACTCGTGCAACTCCCACTGGCAAGAAGAAAATGAGTCAACAGACACACTGAATAATACAGACGCACCTCCATGCATAGAAACGCATTAAGATAATGACAAGTTTCATAAAATACTGTCAACATGACATTTTCACACAAGTCACAAACTGCACAAAAATGTAACGCAAACAAGCGCCGCAAGACCTTCGATAACGGCTTGTACACAGTTGTGAGATCCATTCTGTGGCAGACAGAAGGACAAAATATCTCTTGAAGTAAGTACCAACCGTGTTTCTTTTAAAAGCTGTGTTGATGTTAGCGACATGTTAAAGAGTTTCTGAAGCAATATCAACATAATGATGTGAATGGTTTAAAAACTGCTTCTTCCGATGGTCTTCTTCGCAGCTGAGTGCGACGTGATCAGCATGCTTGGAATCTAAAACGAAAAGCCTAGTGCTTTCTCGTTCTCCCGCATGTTGCTCTTTTCAGATTAACCGAGAGGCAATGGAGCAGGTGGAGAAGTTCAAGTACTTAGGAGTCGAGTTTCCAGTGAAGGAAAATGTGAGAAAAAGATTGATCCGCGGATTGGAGTAGCCAGTGTAAATCTGCGTGAACTAGTCCAAATCACTGAGACTAAATCAGAGCTGAGTCTGAAGACTAAGCTCTCGGTGCTCAAGTCGATCTTCATCTCCATGCTTACCTACGGTCATAAGTCGTGGACCATGACGAAAACTTCTACTGCTGGCACAAATGGTTGAAGTGGGCTGTCTAAGACGAGGTGCTGGTGTTGCTACGCGTCTCGACATGGTCGGAAGTACATAAATCGGCGACAGCCTTAGTGTACAGTCGCTGCTTCTTCAGACTGCGAAGTCACAACTGCGATGATTTGAGCATGTGATGCGAATGTCTCCAGAAAGGAAGGCGAAGCAAGATTTTTTGTCCAGCCAACCGGCAGAAGGCCCAGAAGACAGCCAAGATTAACCTGGCGCAAATATATGGAAGGAGTCTGCGCTAGGGTCCGGCTGTCTTCTGTCGAAGCTCAGTCTCTGGTACAGGATCGGGAACACTGGAAGCATTGTCTGGCGCATCTGCCTCCGCGACTCGAAAGGAGAAGAGGCTAAAGAAGATGAAGATGAAGATTCTTCCAATGATTATCAGTACGAACAAAAAAGACCTTTACTTCGACAGCCAGCATTTCGGCCGTCTGAACATTGGCCTTAGTCATATCCGAAGAGAACTGATGCTAAGTCGGTGAAAACGCTGATTCACTCAGTAAAGAACTTTTCTTTCTATATTGCTAACCCAGGAACTGCAAGGTAAAACGGCTTTCGGTGGAATTTTATTAACATAACTGAAACGAATGCAAGAAATAAGTACCTTTTCTGGCTTACTGTCGCTGGTAGAAGTGGAGGAATAATACACTTCCGGAATGCTGAAGAGACCTTGAAAAGAGAAAACCGCTAAAGTCATTAATTTTCATTAAGAACACTTTACCAAGCGAACTCCAAGTCTTTCGAAACGTGTTATGCAGCACAGAGCCTTTCAGTACCGCATTCGCCATGTTTGCACTATAAAACCGAATAATGAACATTCTGAATGCAATACGCGTGACTTAATTAAGAATTCGGTAAACTTCAAGCACAGTTATCTGATGGATCTTCTGATTCGCCCATACTTAAAATCACAATCACTGATAACCTACTTCAATTTGGTCGAAAAGTTGGATTCGTTGTAAATAAAAATGTTTCTTGTCTCTCGTGCGTGTGTCCTTGTCATCAGCCATGGCATCAGATGACCTATCAGTTTCAATTTATCCATTATCGGAATGAATTCAAGAACTATGTTGTGCACCGGTAATTATACGGTATTATACAATAATATTTTAGCTTATCCAAATGATTAACCATCGTAATAAACGTTTTGATTAGCTACTGGCAGATCGTCTACAACGTACTGCTGAACTGAAGAAACAGTGCTGTCAGATAATCCAAATAATAAACAACACTTTCGCGAGTTCCGCATCAAACCAGCTGATCGTTAAGGAGTCGTTTTAGTCATCGTCAGTCGACGCAGTTTTGCAGTTATTCAGAGAACAACAGAGATCACTGCTTAAATGCCACAGCTAAAAATTCACACAACATTCCTATACGAGCGAACGAAACAATGAATCAACTAAAATCGAAATCGTTCACTTTATCTGTCAATAAATGATCAACTGCTACCAGTTTACAAAGAAAATATTAGTCTGTGGAAAAGTAGATAACTTTCTAAGGCATAATATTTCTTAAACGCAGTGCTTTTCTTTACTATACCGTCAATTTTAATCACAGCATCCG